CTTTTGGAGTGTTTTCTTCCTATCATCAGTTGATACATGCACAGGAATGAAGTACTGGACAAACTAATTTCAGGAGCTCCTTGAGGGCAAGGTCTACTTAAGATGTCAACATATAACTTTCCATACACTAGGAATGCATTAAACATCTGTACAATGAATATGCACATTTTTTTCTACAAAAAAGCTAACAAGAGACATGTTATGCTGTTTTTAAAGTAAACTATATCTAATTTTGGATTGTCACTTCTTGGAGTTATCCACATCATGATTTCCTTCGGAGAGAACTTAGGATGCCAGGATGGGCCAGTAAAGAAACATACAGACTGGCCCAACAAAGCTGTTAATAAAAAACAACTAAGACAAAAAAACCTCAGCACTGCTCAATCTCCTTACCACCTCCAAACAACACGGGTTCCCAGCTTTATGTGTTAGCCTGTCACACAATCCTCATTCTCATAACTGAAACCTTAACCTATATTCCATGCATTTGTAATTTAAAACCTAAAGAAAGGCTGTATTAAGGTTCAGCACTGCATTTTAAAAGAGAGAAAACTGCAGGGTATCATCAGAATTGCTAAGGGAAGTTTCAAGCATCCTGAAATATTTACAATCTATTAACAATGTTTGTTATATGCTCCCTTAATAAAAATATTTACTCCCAATCACCATAAAACTTAATAATCTATCAAGCATTTCAACATCACATTCAACTGACTTTGTATCTAACTTACATATTCCCAGTTTTACAAGTTAAACTGTAATACTCAAGACAAATTTGCCATTCTGCCAGTGACCTGGACTAAAGAAGTGATCTCTTTAAAACCTCATTGTCCAAGACCCCAAATAGCCAAAGCAATCCTGAGAAGGAAGAACAAAGCTGAGGGAATTATGCTCCCTGACTTCAAGCTCTACTACAAAGCCACAGTAATCAAGACAATTTGGTACTGGCACAAGAACAGACCCATAGACCAATGGAACAGAATAGAGAGCCCAGATATAAACTCACGACTATATGGCCAATTAACATACAATAAAGGAGCCATGGATATACAATGGGGAAATGACAGTCTCTTCAACAACTGGTGTTGGCAAAACTGGACAGTTACCTGTAAAAGAATGAAACTGATTATCGTCTAACTCCACATACAAAAGTAAACTTGAAATGGATCAAAGACCTGAATGTAAGTCATGAAACCATAAAACTCACAGAAGAAAACATAAGGAAAAATCTCTTGAATATAAACATGAGTAACTTATTCCTGAACACATCTCCTCAAGCAAGGGAAACAAAATGAAAAATGAACAAATGGGACTACATCAAACTAAAAAACTTCTGTACAACAAAGGACACAATCAGCAGAACAAAAAGACATCCTACAGTATGGGAGAATATATTTGTAAATAACATACCCAATAAGGAGTTAACATCCAAAATACATAAAGAGCTCACATACCTCAAAAAAAGGAGTTAACATCCAAAATACATAAAGAGCTCACACACCTCAAAAAGCAAATAACTCCATTAAAAAAAGGGCAGAGTATCTGAAAAGACACTTCTCCACAGGAGAAAATCAGATAGCCAATAGGCATATGAAAAGATGCTCCTCACTGCTAATTATCAGAGACATGCAAATCAAAACCACAATGAGATATCACCTCACACCAGTTAGTCCAAAAGACAGGAAACAACAAATGCTGGTGAGGACAGAGAAAGGGGAACCTTCCTACACTGCTGGTGGGAATGAAAATCAGTTCAACCAGCACAGAAAGCAATATGGAGGTTCCTCAAAAAACTAAAAGTAGAAATACCACTTCTAGGAATTTACCCACAGAAAACAAGATTCCTGATTCAAAAAGACATATACACCCCTATGTTTATTACAGTACTATTTACAATAACCAAGATATGGAACCTAAGTGTCCATCAGTAGATGAATGGATAAAGATGTGGTATGTATACACAACAGAACATGATTGAGCCATAAGAAGAAAACAAATCCTACCATTTGCAACAACATGTATGGAGCTAGAGGGTATTATGCTCAGTGAAATAAACCAGAGAAAGACAAGTACCAAATGATTTCACTCATTTGTGGAGTGTAACAACAAAGCAAAACTGAAGGAACAAAAGAGCAGCAGACTCACAGACTCCAAGAAGGGACTCTCGGTTACCAAGGAAGGGGTTGGGGAGGGAAAGGGAAGAGGAATAAGGGGCATTAGAATTGGCACACATAATATAGGTAGATCACACGCAAGGCAGTACAGCATGGAGAAGACCAGCAATGACTATAGTATCTTACTACACTGCTGTGACAGGGACTGCAATGAGGTGTGGGGGGACTTGATAACAATGTTGTTCATGTAAAACCTTCTTAATATGGCTACTAGAAAATTTTAAATAATTACATGTGTGGCCCACATTATATTCCTACTGGACAGAGTTGCTCTAGAAAAACATTTAGAGCTTTTGAGGGACAGAAGTACTTTGAATAACTTCTCTACAGTTTTCTGCTGCCATCTCTTTTACACACTGGTCACTTTTCAGAAGTCTTTAGCACACCCAGAAAAACGGTAACACAAAGTCATCACTGAACTCCTGTAACACAGCAAAATAATATGGACTCTCTAACCATCCTTGTCTTTTGCAGCTGCTGTTTTCCTAAGAAGCTATAGTGCATGCCAGCCAAGAAGGAATGTTTTCAATTACAGCAGTTAAAACTTGTGGTGGATTATTTTCCCATATAGAACAACAAGGCCATAGAGCACTAAGATTGTTTTGACTAAACCTTTGGAGAAGGTGTCCACATGAAAGGGCAGAGAAGAAAAAGAATTATAGGTGATCCTGGAGAAAGCCAGAAAATGAGCTGTGTAGAACTGTTTAAAGAAGACTCCTAAAGTGGTCTAGTTCATGGGGCAATTGTTAAATCACAAATGTGAGCTCTGGATCTATCTTCAGGGTACTCCCACTTGCACATGTTGAGCATGTATTAACTGGGTATTTGCCTTTAATCACTAGCATCACTGGGTGTCACAGCTGATAAATTTGGATTCCTGTATATCTCAGGCAACAGATTTATCAAGAGCAGTGCTGTTCAATACAGTTACCAGTAGCCACACATATGGCTACAGAGAAGTTCAACTGCAGCTAGTGCAATGGAGAAGCTGAATTTAAAATTTCATGTAAGTTAAATTTAAATTAACCATGTATGGCTGGTGGCTGCTATATTCGCCAGAGAAATCTAGAGCCTTGCTTCAAGTGTGGCATGCAGAGCAGGAGCATCGGGACCCTCTGGGAGTCTGTTAGAAATGCAACCCCTAAAATACATGTCTCAGGGCAACAAGATTGCCAGGTGATTTTTATGCGCATTAAATTTTGGAGAGCACTTATCTTGAGTAAGAGGTCTCATTTGAATACAATGAAGCAAGAAAAACAATCTAATGAGTTAGCATATATACATGTGTATGCATGTGTGTCTGTGTGTGTATACATACTTTTCCCCTTTCCTTCATCGGGAGACAGTGGCCATACTTTTTCCTCAGATTTTCCAAGGAGCTCATGATCTAAAACAGAGTTTTATCCTACAGGAATGCAGCCCCATAAAGTGGGAAAGTGATTTCACTGAACAAAAAAAAGCCTGAACAGTGATCATTTGCCACACAAGTGCAAGCGCTCTCCTCAGTCTAGGAAAGACAGAGGCTGGCTGCCCATTGCAGCCACAGCCTGAACCTTGGTGGGGTTGCCGCATGGCACACACTCTCCTAGCTTGTTGTTACGTTTCAGTATACCACATACCCATACCAGTACAGACTGGTAGTATAATGTACAGTAGATAAGTGTAACATTTATATGTATAGTCTGTCTTTTATCATACATACACATCCTTATTTTTTAGTGCAGAATTGGCCATGAAATGAATTCCAGGGCAAATACTGTAACAATACCAGTTTGTGCTATTTTGTCTGCTTGCAACAACTGGTGAAATTTTAAGTACTAATGTGCTATTGCAGCTGCTACCAATTTCTTGCTGGATTCTGGAATCAACCAGGAAATTTTGTCTTGTTATTATTTATGACATGAAATTATGAATAAAAACAGCTGATACCATGAGCCTGATTACTTAGCTTACTTTCCCATTAGTAAATAGCATGGGTTTTACATCATAATGAAAAGTGATGATCCTTTAATTTTTTTAGGCAATAACTTAGGAAACAAGATCAGGATAAGGCTGCTTTCAGGCTTTGTAAATTTGCCTCAGAGGAACTTAGCCCTTTGTTAACAATAACAAGATGTCCCAGCATCTATGCTAAGGCAATGATTTACTCAAAGTTGACTAGTTGTAGATTTAGATGGTATGGCACCACGTTTCAAAATGGTTCTAAGAATCTACCATGAATCATTGTTTTCCCACTGGTACTTAGGAAGAAACATGCACAAACTGGTAGCGGGCTAAAGAAGCCAGGAGAATTAACTCATTACAGAGGGTCTTGAGTATTTCCCGAATGAAGAAAACCTAAGTCAGGCCTCTTGTGGTTTTTTTATTATGTGAATTTATAAATGCAGACCTACAGAATGTGCTTGAAATAGGCAGAGTTAGGTTTCCTCAACAAAGACTTCTCCCACTAAGCAGTCTCATGAAGGAGAATAACTTGCTGGTACTGGAATGCACAAACAGACCAATATATATTTAATACATTTGGCCTTTGGAGGACAAAAGATTCTTTAGAAACTAGCCCCCAGGAAGGGTAATTTACCATAGATTCCTAACCCTTTAATTTTGTAGGGTGATGGATGTCATTAAAATACGAGGATTGAGAAGCAGTTCTCAATCTTGTCTCCACTGCCAGATCAAGGACAAATGGCAATCACACACTCGTGGTGTGATGTCCCTGGTAGGGTTCCCCATCTCTTTTCTCCACAAGAAAGCACGTGGGAAGGCAAGTGAGTGGTGCTGTTTAAGAAGAGCTTTGTCAAGAATAACCAGTCTAACTCAGTCAATTAGTCAGTTTGATATCCTATTCTTTTATTCTCATCATCTCTCACACCTGATTGTGACATACTTTTGTGTCACCATTATTTCTGAGGATCCCTCATTCACTTAGTTCTGTGTGTCTGGTCTGGGCCAAGAATCTCATTTTCAGTTTTAGATACTTATTTAACATAACCAGTGGAAAGGAATTTTAAAAAATATTTATTACATTTGGTTCTAGAAGTGATAGAAAATAAAAATTGGTACAATTATGTCACATGCCATTGGTCCTTTCTCATCAGGGAACAGTTTATGCAATGCCAGACAGAAATGACCCAGCCACAGGTGACAAAGGGAAATGATGCGAATAGGAGGTGCCCTTATAAATTTCTGAAGTTTCCTTCTCTGCTATCATTTATTTTGGGGCAAATACCAGTCCAATGGGAAGAGTTCTGAACATAAAAGGCACCTAGGGTAAAAACTAGACCTTAACTAAAAATAGCTGCACATGTTTACATCAAGAAAAAAGGCCCTATCAACGCAACTGTCCTGCAATGCAATGCTAATCTATAAATGGAAAAGCTACTGTAACTAAAAAAATTCTAGAAACACCTACCTGAAAATGGTGCACGAGCTACAAAATGGCAATCACTTTTAGGTTTCTAAACCTGTAGATGTTTGTCCTCATTTAAATTAGCACAAACGCCATATTTATATTCATAGGTCTGTGTGTGGGGATGTTCTATTATTTAACTTTAGTCAAGATTTGTTTTGCTGCATTTTCTCTTAAACACATTGTTATGTCCTCCACTCATGGATGTGTGAAAAATTCCTGTTGTCTTTCAGGAATATAGCAAAACCTAAAGCTGCCATTTTAAACCAAAGATCTTTTTAATTAGTATAAAGCCAGTAAAGCTGACATTTTGCTATGACTTAAGCACCTGAAATATACTGACCAATTTATATTCTCTGAGCTAGAATTAGGATCCTCCGAATTTGTATATGTGTACAAATACTGCAAATTAAGCTAATAAAAACATGAAAAAATACAAATAATGTTTTACTACAAAGATCAAAAACCCACATATGCGTCTCTGCTAAGAGAAAAATGAACAGGAAGCCAGCAAACACGTGTCTGTATTTTCTAATCTGGGGACAAAGGACTCAGCGGAGCCAGGTGGTATTCAGCTGGGTCTGGTTCTTGATGCTGGTATCCATTTTTAGCACTTCACGAATGGCCATGGTAGCATAGGTAGAAGGAGGAAGAGAAAAATCCATCTTCAGAGCTCTGTATTTGCCTTCTGCCAGGCAAGAAAGAAGGTAACAGTCAGAAAAGTGAGGTAGCTGCAGACAGACTGAGCAAGTCATATAATCTCTATACAAATAAAAGCGCCTTTCCGCGGCCTTCTACTTCCCATGAGGCATTGGAGAATGAGACATGGAAATGAGAGATCTGTGAGTGTACCATCCCACTAAATCTGTATGGTAATTCTACTGGAACCCTCACAGAAAAGGCAGATGACAGGAGAGTGCAGGAGAGAAACAAACATGAAATTTAAAAAAGAGAGAGTACAGGGTGACAAAAGACGAAGGAATAGCAACAAGAGTTTGACAATGAGAATGCAAATTTAATGTTTTACACTCTCTTCTGGGATTGTAACTCACCTTCATTGGCTCTCTGCAGGGGAAGGGAGGAAAGAGTCAATCACCTAATATCACAACTTTCTATAATGTTCATTCATTTTCAGTGGGACTGACTGTTTTAAAAATCACTGACCTCCAGTTGTATATAATTATGAAAGTAAGATGACAAAACACAAACAACCATAGCATAGATGGGAGGTGGTGGTGATCGTTGTTTTGTGTTTTCATTTATGATTTTGTTTCAACGTTGGCACAGAACTGATGGCTGTGTGAACTTACCAGAAGCAAAAACTGGTGGTGGCTTCCCCTCTAGCTTGTCCACATCTGTGCTGAAGAGTGGAATTTTGAGGTCATCATATGTAACGACTTCCCTTCAAAACATGTAAGGAAAGAGAAGTGTGAATGTAAACTTCCATAAAAGGCACTAAAAGTTGCTCATCACCATACAGTTAGCAAGGAAAACACATAGGCTTATTATAAATAATTCTCAGTGGGACTATTCAATTACAGAACAGGGCCAGACTTTATCAGTAAGTACTATCTTTATATTATGATATGGCAAGGATGGTATCAGTCCATAAGGAGGACATAAAATGTTTCCCAGGGATGGAAATTCATTTTATATGTAATTGATAAGTAGCAAAACTTTACTTTGCACAGTTATGACTGAATTAATCGTTTATTTTTTCTCCAGCGTGGTTATCCCTACGGACAATGCTGTGTTACTCACGTGGAACTGCTCTCCTGAGTGTAGAAAGCTAAGGAGAACTCCACAATCCAGACAAGAAGAGGGAAGAGACAGGGAAAGGAGGAGAGAATCTCCTGGCCATGGGCAAATGGCTCAGGATTTAATTTTTTAAATTATCAAATAAAGCTTTATATAATACCAGGTATTAAAGTATTTTAAAACGGGTTAATGCAAGTACCTTTTTCTCTCTAGAAAAAATGACAGTTAAACAACCAGATCAGTGTTTGGAATTCAGTTAATTCTGAGTAAGGCAAATGCAGGGATAGCTCTGTAAGCACATCTCAAATTTTAGAAATGGAAAAATCTCTGCACATCTCTTCAATAATTTTAATGTCAATACAACATAAACTAAGCCATTTTCATTGTATGTTTCCATTCATTTATTTTCTGAGGATTTGAAAAATAGCAAGTAGTAGCAGTAAGGATAATAGTAATAATGGCAACAATAAGTAACGCGTGTATGCCAGATTGTTAAGTACTGAAAAAATATGTATGTGATTCAAAAGCTTAAAATCACAATAACGCTCCAGACTATTACTCACCAGCTGACATTCTGAGGACGAATAATGATCTTTCGGTAAGCCCCTGACAAGGAATAATCTCGAATTTTATGTCTCATGTTGTCAATATCAAGATTGTCTGCTGTGAGCATTTCCCTGTAAGCTTCACTAACTATATAAAACACAAAAAGTTAGTTGGAATGCAGCACATGAGCAAGTTACCTCAAACTAGACTACAAGCAGAGTAACATATACTTTCAGTTCAATCACCCTAAGAAAATTAGTGACACTAATTTACAATCCAGCCTGTTCTCTGGAACCAAAACATAGTGACTTATTAACTAAGGACTAGGAGTCTGTAGCCTAAGTTTGGTCAACTTCTAAGTTACCTTTGCAACCAGCCACACTATCTAGGTGTAAGGTTCCCAAGCTGGCTACAAAAGGCCATTTCATCAGAAGTTACTAAACCACAATTTACATGTCCTCACAATTAGTAGAGACCATACACTGAGGCCTCAAACACTTTCTGGAAGAAGGCAGTTATAAATAAATGTATAAAATTAAGAGACCTGGGAAGGCCGTCTGGCTTAGCCTCACACCTGACATGCCATCTTTTTTATGTAACACCCAACAGAGACATGCCTCTTCGTGAGGCATGCAATTAAGAGGAAGGAAAGTCCTTCCTCTTCTAAGCTGAAATCTGTCTCCTTATAACCTCTACTGACTGTTTTGGAGCATGGCAGACTACTTCCCTCTTCCACGTGTTCAGAAGTATTGGACCTTTAAGCCTTATCTTCTCTAGGCCAAACAATGGTTCCGTCAACTGTTCCTCCTTCAACTTTTCTGTATTTCCCACCAAACCTCGATATATTGGGCTTGGGGTGACAGGCTTAGGCTCAACTATAAATCTAGATATTTTTATGTAGACTACAATCTAACTGGGCCTTTTCCATTTATACATTAGATCATTGAACATTAGTATGAGAATTTACATTTAACCCTATTAAATGCCTGATGCAGTTTTTTTAAAATACTTTAATTTTTTTCATATAATTAACTATTTTGGGTTATATTATTTACAAATATGATAGATTTCTTTATCCAGGGTATTCATAAAAATGTTGTGTAGACTAGGGTCAAGGGAAGACTTCCTCACAACACACTTGTAAGGACAACAGGGCTGCCTACATGGAGCACTGGTGAACGCCAAGTACATGTGTATCATGGAAGCCACATGCTGAGCCACCACCCTTCCAGTCTGTGAGTACCTGGCTTGGCCACAAGGTTGCACGAAAAGCTTTGTCAAAGACTGTGCTCAGTTTGTGTTTTAATTGGTACTAGCCCAAATTTCTGATCCTAAGAGGAACATAAAAGAGGAAAATACGTTTCTTTCTTTCTTGAAAAGAGGGCAAGCATGGCTGTGAGCATCCTAGGGTCTTTCTTCTGGCTAGTTCCTGGTTCTGCTCAGGGGCTCTTCACAGCACCAGCTACCCACAGCAGGCAAACCACACTCCCTCCCTTGTCCACCTCTCTTACTCCTTCTTCCTTCTGCTTCTCAGGGAAGTCAGCCTCACCTACATATTCTAGAGCACAGCAATTCAATTCAATTAACCAACATGTAAGTGGCACATGACTACTTAACTCTTTCCTAAATATTTGCATTACCAAAGAAGGGTGTTAATCCTAATCATTCTATATGCAGTAAAGTTTCAAATAATAGAATACTGATAAATAAATTAATTCTAGACTCTTGAGAGAAAAGATGTTTTAACAGGAATATACATCTCTCAGACCAGCCCTGCCTAGCAGTAAACTTCCAGATTCAGTTCCACCAAGTTGGTCCCCTGCTCAGAGCTATTTTCTTTTTTTTTTTCAATTTCTAAATCCTTGAACAATAAAATTCTAATTCCCCTAACAACCCCAACCATGGCATTCATGAGGGTAACAGAAGTAATTCTTAAGAAGAATTAGTTACAAGAAGTAATTTTTAAACCTCTGGAGCATGGGAAATAAAGGTAGGGAATTCTAACTTTTCATTTTATAAACTTTTGTGCTTGTTGACTTTTAAAACACACAGAGCAGATACTCCTTATATGATTTTCTTTTTTTAAAAAAGGGGAAAGAAAGCAGTGTTTAAGCAGAATCCATTCACTTCCACAATGACTCTTCCCAAGCTCTTCCTGTCCTAAGATTTAGTGAATTTCAGAAACTTGAATAATGCCAATGGTAACAACACTAGTAACAATGCCAAGGTGACTGCTACCACCACCTGTTTCTTAAATTATCCACCTAAATGCATTCCTTTCTGGGAGACTTTCGGAAGTAAACATGGTTTATATACATTTGAAATTTAAGCATTTTTCAAGTCTGATGGAAATCGAAGTTCTAAAATTCTATTTAAAGTACTGATTTTTTTCTCCCTTTCTTCTATTCTTGACTGCCAGGGGCTTAATTATGTTAAGACTCTGTTTTAATAATTTTCCCCATCCAGGGAACTTACTTTTATGCTTTGGGTAGATAACATCGAAACCAGGCAAGGGCATTACCACATCATGGATGGAGTAGTCCTTAACATCATCTTCCTCAATATAGGTGGCTGTGGCTGCAAATTCACAAATGACTAAATTAAGAAAAATTGGCAGTATTTTCACGAGCTCAATCTTCTAAAATTATACATATCTAAGCAGTCAGGTATGTTGGTATGGGTTTAGTGGCCTACAAAGCTTACAGAAACCAAGTCAGAATATATACCTTTCTGTATTTTCCACTCTACCCAAGGAATAAAAACCATGGATTTAGAAAAAGTGTTAAGTTAGAAAACATTTATTTGTCAGGTGCACCCCCATTTCTGGGGAATGCTTGCTTTTAAAAATCAGTTCCTTATTAAACACTAAGAAATATTATTTGTAAAGCTATAATGAATGAAGGCATTTTGCTAAAAGAATAAATAGTAAAATAAAAATAAAACATTTTTAAAAAGCAGCCTGTAATTTACAGGACTTAATGTGGTAGCACATGGGGCATTAAAATACTGGATGTGATCAACACTGGATGATGAAAAAATATTATATCAGGAAAAAAATTTAAAAATTGCTGAACAAATTCAAAACCTTATTATTATGCACACCTGCAGATAAGCAGGCTGTCTTCAGACAGCAGAAGGGAGCCAGATAGGCCAGAACATGGGCTTTGGAAGACAGACTTGAATCTGAATCCCAGCCTTTTCTTCTTAACTAGCTGTGGACTCCTGATCAAGTAACTACACCTCATCTACGGAAGGGAGACAATCTGTCACAGCAAGACTGGGAGCGTTAAGCTGGAACACGCTGGTAAAGGGCTTAGCACAAGGCCTGCCACATACTCAGGGCTCCACAGCAGATGAGACTATTTGCATGTTTTATGAACATTTTGGGCATGGAGTGTGTACTAAATGTCAACTAGACAATGGTCCATATGTAACGTGGGCTCCAATCCAGTGGTCACTTGAAGAAACTGACAACAGCCAAGAAGCTGAAGTATATCCAAAAGGGTCGAAAAGTATTTACCAGACCCAGGTTAAAGTTTGTAAAGGGATTTTAGGCAATATTAAGTCCAAATCTTATTCTAGGAGGGAAAAAAAGAGGCCCACAAAGAGTCAGGCACACTCAAATCAGCTATTTTTCATTAAATATATAGATCCAAACTTGTCAGTCTGAGCTTACAACGTTCCTCCATTTCAAACTTACAAGACATCTCTCTCTTAACTGGTAGCCTGGCTGGATTTTAAGCAGTAGTGTCACATAACTAAACCAGTAACTAGCTTGGATGAATAATGATGGTGCCTGCCTTTTTACCTCCTTTGAGAACCAGGTCTCCGGCAACAGGTTTCAATCCATACTCTTCTATTCTCTTGCTTACCATGTTGTTCCACACATAGCTTTGATAGCTATGAATATACATTAAGCGATTATTTCTTGGTATCTGAAGGGAAAGCAAATAACAGGCAAGGAAAGAATACATATTCTGAATATTCAAAGTACTGTACTTTCCAAGACATTCACTTGTTTAGTGGCAACCCTAGTATAAGAAACTCACACCTTGAATCTTGTTTTTCTATTAGCCTACAGAAATAATGATTGACAGGCAGCACTAATTTTAGAGATGGAGCCCCAGATTAAGGGGTGTCCACAATCAGCAACAGCTGGAGCAGCTCCTGTTTTATATCCACAGTGTATATACTCAAGCAAATACAGCAAATGCTAACAATTCATACCCCAAATCAAAGATGTATACTTCAAATTCAAGGAATTTTATTTTTAAATTCTAGGGAGGGAGAATCTCGTAATTCTAGGGAAGGAGAAACCTAAATGATACACTGACAACTGATTTCATGCAGGAAGAATTCTGCTTTTTTGTACATCTGGGGAAGAGTAAACAAGACTGTAAAGAGCTAAACTTCAGTCTCTTCTGGATTATAGATATCCCAGTACTAATACAGGCTATCCTTGCCAAGGTGGTACCCCATCTTGAGCTCCCATGAAGAAACTAAACTAAAAAGTGGCCGTTCAGACCACTTAGGATGCAACCCTTCTATTGAGGCAGGTTACACTTCTGATGCTGGAGAATGATCAAGAAATAAACTCTATGATGGCCTCTGAATTTCTCAAATATCAAGATAATTAATTTAAATTTCCTTGTAGATAACATTCTGCACATTAATGCTTTTCTCATGCCCTCAGTGTTAATTGTTGCTAACAATGCCCACACCCACCATTCTCCCCTACCACCAAGGACTGAGCAAGGAACACTCAGGTGATACACTTCTCAGAGGTCTCAAAGGGGACCTCTGTTTACCTTCTGCTCTTTCAAAATTTAGTAAAATATTAAGAGATACAATTTAAAAAGCATTAAACCACCTAGAGTCATTTGCCTGACTTCACAAACCACACTCACTATGCCAAATGCAGAGACTATATTCTTCATTCCATATTTTGAAAGTCCTCGAAGCAGCTGCCCTTCCACACACCTTCTGACAGGTAGTTTTCTGAGGGCAGCGGCTGGGTCCTTGGTCTTGGCCCATTCTTCCCTGCATTTAACCAAGTACCCCTTTTCAGCTGCAGGGGAAAAATCTATGATTAAACAATTTATCCAACAGACAGATTTCCTTAACACGTATCATAGAGATCACAAAATTACAAAATGCCACTTATAATAGAGGTCCTCAGTAAAGCTTCTGGTCACCTGAGAATAACCAACCATTAGCAAGTGTAAAAATGGGCAATGTAGAAAATTTACAGAACTGCGAGGCTTTGTCAACATGCTACAAACCACCCAGGATTTTAAAGCTCATTACTGTTCATAATCACAGCCGATACAACAAAAGAAAAACTTTGGTAGTGCCCTCTTCCTTCTCTTTTCCCACTGCATTGTCAAATTTAATGGGTTACTTTCCTTAAAACTAGACAATTTTTATCTTTTTAAAATTTGTAGGTGAATAAATACCCAAAATGCACATAACTGTTTTGGTAATGTGTAAAGTAGTACCTAAATCCTTTTCGTAACTTAGAACTTCAGAAATACTTCTGGAAGTTTTTAATAAACTCTTCACACTAAAACTCTTCAACACGTTTTGCCAGCTTTTATATTCTATTATTACATGCTTTAAAAAATTAACCTCAAGTGAATTTGTTCAGGGGTTTAGTAGTGCATGGAGAAAAGTAAATCAATGTATTCATCTATGAATTAGATGAGCTAAAGAGCTGAAAACAGGATATAAGTGATTAATCTCAAACATGTACATAAAAGTTGTGAAAAAATACAAAATTACACTTATTTTACTGCAAATATAATTTTTAAAAATTCTGAAATCACTAGCCCAATTTCCTACCACCCAGAATTTCATTCACATACCTTTCATATACTTATATTCAAAGGAATTCCATGAATATCTAACCATGTGTTCTATTTTTTTCTTAACATTAATTTATTCTCACCTCCAGAACGGGGTTTCAATATTAAATCCATGACTTCAGCCCAGGAATTTTGTAGTATAGCTCTAAAAATCAAACAGCAATTATTTTACTTGATTTGCATTAAGATGAATTTTATATGCTCAAATCTGTGGAGTCAACAAATCATATTAATGATTTTATTAAAAGTAAGCTTAAAACTAATATGACATAGATTTCAAATTAAATGCCAAAGGAAAGGCAGGCATGAAATATGTCAATGGTCTGTAGTATAATGTTTTCTAAAAGACAAAAAAAAAGGCCAAAGGAACTTAAAAAAGATAAAAAGTTAATGTTTACCCATATTTAATATCATTTCAGTTTTAGAATGGTATAATAGTATAAATGCTACCTAGTCATGCTTTGAGTTGTTATACATGGTATTACATGAATAAATCGAACTAAAATCTTTATGTACCAAAACTTATCTTGAAATTCTCAAACATTTCCTCCCCAGTGTTAAATTATCTTCTTGCCTAGGCAAATGAATAGAATTAATTTATCCTTCTCTATTATTCTTGCAAAAAAGGAAATACATTTTTGCTGATTTTAAGTTACATATTACTGTAAAAACAGTACATGAGGTTCCCTCTGAGAAATTAAAGTTAATGATTTATATTTCTCAAGATTTTTTTGATGCATCTATATGTGTATGCAATTTTTCCTTTAATTTTTATTATATTATCTTTTGCCATGAAAACCTGTATTTTGGTATGGTATCTGAAAATATTTTCCAGTTGGGATTTCTGGTCTCGGAGTCATGCTTAGAAAGACCTACACTACCATAAGAATACAGAAATCTCTCCTATTAATTTTTGCTTTTCTAGTTAACTATGGCTCTTATTTCTCATTTTAAAGTTGATCTATATGGGATATATATATTTTTAATTTTGGTATCATTATTCTACAATTACATGAAGAACACTATGATTACCAGGCTTCCCCCCTCACCAAGTCCCTCCCCAAAACCACACTACAGTCACTGTCCATCAGCATAGCAATATGCTGCATAATCACCACCTACCTATCTTTTCTGTTGCACAGTCCATCCTTTACCACCCCCAATACTATACATGCTCATTGTAATGCCCCCTTTCTTTTTCCCCACCCTTATCCCCCATTCCCACCCATCATCCCCAGTACCTTTACCTTTGGTAACTGTTAGTCCACTCATGGGTTCCGTGATTCTGCTGCTGATTTCTTCCTTCACTTTTTCTTTGTTCTTATGCTCCACGTATGAGTGAAATCATTTGGTACTTGTTTTTCTCGACCTGGCTTATTTTACTGAGCATAATACCCTCTAGCTCCATCCATGTTGTTGCAAATGGTAGGATTTCTTTTCTTCTTATGGCTAAATAATATTCCATTGTGTATATGTACGACTTCTTTATCCATTCATCTATTATGGACATTTAGGTGGTTTCCATTTCTTTGCTGTTGTAAATAGTGCTGCGATAAACACAGGGGTGCATCTATCTTTTTCAAACGGGGCTGCTACATTATAACGGTAAATTCCTAGAAGTGGAATATTAATTCTTCCTAGCCAGGAGCATGGGATGAGTTTCCATTTGTTAGTGTCCTCTTTAATTTCTCTTATGAGTGTCTTATTGTTTTCAGGGTATCAGTCTTTCTTCCTTGTTTGGTTTATTCCTAGGTATTTTATTCTTTTTGATGCTATTGTGCATGGAATTGTTTTCCTGATTTCTCTATTAGTTCATTGTTAGTGTATAGGAACGCCACAGATTTCTCTGTCTTAATTTTGTATCCTGCAACTTTGCTGAATTCCGGTATTAGTTCTAGTAGTTTTGGAGTGGAGTCTTTTGGGGTTTTTTATGTACAATATCATGTCATCTGCAAACAGTGACAGTTTGACTTCTTCTTTACCAATCTGGATTCCTGGTATTTCTTTGTTTTGTCTAATTGCTGTGGCTAGGACCTCCAATACTATGTTCAATAGCAGTGGGGAGAGTGGGCATTACTGTCTTGTTCCCAATCACAGAGGAAAAGGTTTCAGCATCTCGCTGTTCAGTATGATGCTAGCTGTGGGTTTATCATATATGGCCTTTATTATGTTGAGGTACTTTCCCTCTATACCAATTTTGTTGAGAGTTTTTATCATGAATGGATGTTGAATTTTGTCGAATGCTTTTTCAGCATCTATGGAGATGATTGTGTAGTGTTTGTCTTTTTTTTGTTGATGTGGTGGATGATGTTGATGAACTTTCGAATGTTGTACCATCCTTGCATCCCTGGGATGAATCCCACTTGGTCATGGTGTATGATCCTTTTGATGTATTTTTGAATTCGGTTTACTAATATTTTCTTGAGTATTTTTGCATCTATGTTCATCAGGGATATTGGTCTGTAGTTTTCTTTTTTCGTTGGGTCTTTACCTGGTTTTGGTATTAGGGTGATGTTGGCTTCATAGAATGAGTTTGGGAGTATTCCCTCCTCTTCTATTTTTTGGAAAACTTTCAGGAGAATGGGTATTATGCCTTCTCTGTATGTCTCATAAAATTCCAAGGTAAATCCATCTGGCCTGGGGGTTTTGTTCTTGGGTAGTTTTTTGATTACCGATTCAATTTCATTACTGGTAATTGGTCTTTAGATTTTCTGTTTCTTTCTGGGTCAGCCTTGGAAGGTTGTATTTTTCTAGGAAGTTGTCCATTTTTCCTAAGTTTTCCAGCTTGTTAGCATACAGGTTTTCATAGTATTCTCTAATAATTCTTTGTATTTCTGTGGGGTCCATCCTAATTTTTCCTTTTTTGTTTCTGATTGTTAATGTGTGTTGACTCTCTTTTTCTCCAAGTCTGGCTAGAGGCTTATCTATTTTGTTTATTTTCTCAAAGAACCAGAAAAAATTGATTTTTTCTATTGTTTTATTCTTCTCAATTTTATTTATTTCTTCTCTGATCTTTATTATGTCCCTTCTTCTGCTGACTTTAGGCCGCATTTGTTCTTCTTTTTCCAATTTCGGTAATTGTGACGTTAGACTATTCATTTGGGATTGTTCTTCCTTCTTTAAATTTGCCTGGATTGCTATATACTTTCCTCTTAAAACTGCTTTTGCTGCCTCCCACAGAACTTGGGGCTTTGTGTTGTTGTCATTTGTTTCCATATATTGCTGGATCCCCATTTTAATTTGGTCATTGATCCATTGATTATTTAGGAGCATGTTGTTAGGCCTCCATGTGTTTGTGAGCCTTTTTTGCTTTCTTTGTACAATTTATTTCTAGTTTTATACCTTTGTGGTCTTAAAGGTTGGTTGGTAGGATTTCAATCTTTTTGAATTTACTGAGGCTCTTTTTGTGGCCTAGTATGTGGTCTATTCTGGAGAATGTTCCATGTGCACTTGAGAAGAATGTGTACCCTGTTGTTTTTGGATGTAGAGTTCTATAGATGTCTATTAGGTCCATCAGTTCTAGTGTGTTGTTCAGTGCCTCTGTGTCCTTACTTATTTTCTGTCTTGTGGATCTGTCCTTTGGAGTGAGTGGTGTGTTGAAGTCTCCAAAAATGAATGCATTGCATTCTATTTCCTCCTTTAATTCTGTTAGTATTTGTTGCACATATGTTGGTGCTCCTGTATTGGGTGCATATATGTTTATAATGGTTATATCCTCTTGTTGGACTGAGCCCTTTATCATTATGTAATGTCCTTCTTTATATCATTACTTTCTTTGTTTTGAAGTCTATTTTGTCTGATACTTGTACTGCAACACCTGCTTTTTTCTCCCTTTTGTTTGCATGAAATATCTTTTTCCATCCATTGACTTTTAGTCTGTATATGTCTTTGAGTTTGAGGTGAGTCACTTGTAAGCAGCATATAGATGGATCTTGTTTTTTTATCCATTCTATTACTCTGTGTCTTTTGATTGGTGTATTCAGTCCATTTACATTTAGGGTAATTATTGAAAGATATGTACTTATTGCCACTGCAGGTTTTAGATTCGTGGTTACCAAAGGTTCAAGGTTTGCTTCTTTACTATCTTACTAACTTAACTCGCTTGCTGAACTATTATAAACACAGTCTGATGATTCTTTATTTCTCTCCCTTCTTATTCCTCCTCCTCCTCCATTCTTCATATGTTGGATGTTTTGTTCTGTCCTCTTTTAAGGAGTGCTCCCATCTAGAGCAGTCCCCCTAAAATACCCTGTAGAAGTGGTTTGTGGGAGGCAAATTCCCTCAACTTTTGCTTGTTTTGGAATTGTTTAATACCTCCTTCATATATGAATGATAATTGTGCTGGATACAGTATTCTTGGTTCAAGGCCCTTCTGTTTCATTGTACTAAATATATCTTGCCATTCTCTTCCGGCCTGTAAGGTTTCTGTTGCGAAGTCTGATGAAAGTCTGATGGGTTTTCCTTTGTAGGTGACCTTTTCTCTCTCTCTGGCTGCCTTTATTACTCTGTCCTTGTCTTTGATCTTTGCCATTTTAATTATTATGTGTCTTGGTGTTGCTCTCCTTGGGTCCCTTGTCATGGGAGTTCTGTGTGCTTCCGTTGTCGAGAGGCCATTTCCTCCCCCAGTTTAGGGAAGTTTTCAGCAATTATTTCATCAAAGACATTTTCTATCCCTTTTTCATTTTCTTCTTCTTCTGGTACTCCTGTAGTGCGAATATTGTTCCATTTTGATTAGTCACACAGTTCTCTTAATATTCTTTCATTCCTGGAGATCCTTTTATCTCTCTCTGCCTCAGTTTCTCTGCATTCCTGTTCTGTTTTATAGTCCATTAATGGTCTCTTGTATCTCGTCCATTCTGCTTTGAATTCCTTCCAGAGATTGTTTTATTTCTGTATTCTCCCTCCTTAGCTCTTGCATATTTCTCTGCAAGTCCATCAGCATGGTTATGACTTTTACTTTGAATTCTTTTCTAGGAAGATTGGTTAAATCTATCTCCCCAGATTCCTTCTCAGGGGAGGATGTGAAGGATGTCTGGGTTAGTCTGGTCTGGATCAAATTTTTCTGCCTTTTCATGTTGATAGTGTAGTATGCTGTTGGCTCATCTGTCAGCTGGGAGAACCAAGATCCTTTCCACTTTCTCCTGG